ACATCCCGGGAGGAACAACCGGGAGGGCAGGCAGGCTCACACACAGAGGCCCCCCAGACCCGGGCAAGGGGACCCGGTGAGCAGTGCCCCGGGGTGGGGAAGAGGAGAGTCCAGAGACTTCAGAAAAGGAGGGACGGAGGAGCTGGGCAGGAGGTGAGAGTTGTCTTTTGTCCCCACTCCCCACCTGTAACCGGGGCAGAGAGCTGAGCCAAGTGTCCTTGAGACCAAAGCCAGAGTTAAATCCTGTGGTCAGAGAGCAGGGAGAAGGAGGCGCCCATGGTCTACTCCCCCACCTTCCCTTTCCCCTTCCTGTGAGCCCCGCTCCTACCAATAACCAGATCAGGCTTGGGTCCCTGCAGCAGGTGGTAGGGCCTCGCTGACACCTTGATCTGCAGGTCCCTGCGGCCCCCCTTCTCCTTAGTTCCGGAGCCAAGCCGCGCTGATACCCCAGAACCTGGACGGAAAGACACCTCGGGGCCGTCCTAAGATGCCAGGAGTGGGGTGGGGAAGCCACCGGAAGTCAGAGTGTTGGAGTGTACCAGGCAGGGCAGGGGAGGGAGGGTAGAAGGGCAGGACAAGGTCAGGGCTGAGAGCAGGAGCCTTCCTCCGCCTTTACCCTCTGCAGGGTAAAATGCTGCTCGTCACTTTCAGGGGGCAGACTGTCGCCCACGAATTGCAGCTCCAGGGCAACGTGAGGGAGCAGGACTAAGAGCTCCTGAAGGATAGAGAGGAGGACAGGTCTGGTCCCATCATCTGTCCAGCTCCACATCCAAATGCCCAATCCTTAGACCTAGAGGGACTTACCCAAAACACCATAACAAGGTCAAACTCCTTCCCAGCCTCCACCACGTGGATCTTCAGTGACTGCTTGTTCTGGATGTTGAGCTCAGGGACTGGGTGAGAAAACCACTTTTTGAGAATATGGGTTCCCTCACTCTCTTCGTGTCCCCCTCCTCCCCCAGTTCTCCTTACAGGACTGGGGCACCAGGTGAGTGATGACGTAGTACACTGTCAGTGGGTAGGTGAGAAGCACAGCCATGGGGGAGTCCAAGCTGAGGCCCCGCCACGTGTAGTAATCCTGCCACGAGCCTGGGGAAGTGGGTTACTGGAGGACGTGGCCCAGGCCTGGGTCCCAACCCCTGCAGGCTAACAGTCTTTTTTTCTCAGTCACCTTCGCTTCTGGCCCTCCATTCCCCGGCCCTAGTTCCCTTAGGGCCTGTCCAGCTCACCAAAGAGACCCTTGGGTGCATCTGAAGGCACAGGAGGCATCAGGGCAGGCCCATCCCCCTGGAGAAGCTGGTAGGGATCTCCTGAGAGGATAAGAAGAAGACCCTGGGGTCAGGGAGACCCCCCGCCCCCACATACATACAGACACACCTGACCCATCTCTCTCTCCTCCAAAGGAACCGTATTCCCGGGGTGGGGGTGGGGGGCTAGAGAAGCAGTAAGAGGAATGGGAGTTTGCTTAGGGACAGGCTTCTAGATGGGGAAGGCAGGGGTGACTCTTCTGGGGGCTGAAGGAAGGCCCAAAATGGTCCTGGTGGCATTGCATTGGTATGCAGAGGGATTATCTGGGACCAGGACAACTGTTCCCACTAGGCTGAGGGCCCCATGCCTGAAAAGAGGCCCCACTCACTGCTGAGAAGAAGGCTGAGGGATGGTGTGTTGCCTCGGGGGTGCCTGGGGGCACAGGGGCCTGGAATCAGCATGCTGAGCTGGGTCCAGTAGCCACGGGTGAGGCCCCGAGAGGCCAGGAAGGCCTCCTTGTTAAAGGTTTCACTGGTCACTTCTAGAGAAGGAGGACGGGAGGGGTTAAGAGTCTGGTGGCTAAGTTCCCAGACCGTGGCTCTCCTCAGCTTTCCCCAAGGACCCTACATCTGAGTCCACTTCCATCAGGGAGGGAAATAACACTTAGAAGTATTCACAGTGAACCGCTTGGACACAGGCACCAAGCTCCTGTAATCCTTACAGCAAGCCCACAGGGTTTTATTTAACATTTGTTAATATTGGGGGCTGGGAGGTGGCATGATGGTTAAGGTGCTGGATTCCCACATAGCTGACCATGGTTCAAGTCCCAGACCTGCTGGCTTGGTTTCTCACTTTCCCTTTCTGTCTCTCTCTGGTTAAATTGAAAAAATAAAACAAAAAAACCCCAATAAATTAAATGAAATACTTCAAAAAAAAAAAAAAAGCAAAACCAAAACATTTTTTAGTATTATTTACAGATGAGGAAATGGAGGCTCTGGGAAGTAGAGTGATTTAAGGTCACACTGCCAGTGTGTGGTGCCTGGAGGAAGCAAGCAGATATTTGAATCTCTACTTCCAAATCTCCGAAACTTACTCAGGACTAAGTTCTCTTCCTCACAGATCCCACCTCCAGTCCCAAACACCCAGCACCCAGCCGTTATTTTAGGGATCTAGACTTCAGCCCCAGGCACTTAGCCTTCAACCCCAGGACACTCAGGCACTACTCTCAAGAACCTGGCTTCATCTTCCCCACCCATTCTTTTTTTTTTAACCCCCAGGTTTTTGGCATAGGACACATGTGCTCACTGGAGAGAGACAGAGAGAAGCAGAGAGACGGAAAGTGAGAAATCATTGCCCAGGAGGGATGGCCCTGCAGCAATCCCTTATCCTCCGTTCTCTTCTTAGAATTTTGGAAACACACACAACCGCCCAGTGTGATTTTCAAGCCGCTGGGTCTGGGACTTGAGCTGTGGTTGGTCATGTGGGAATCCAGTGCCTTAACCACCATGCCATCTTCTGGGCCCCCCACCCCTACCCATTCTGACCTCCATATGGTACCTGCGGTATAGGTAAAAGGCAGAGTTGCCAGTTCCCCTGCCCGCTCCATGAAGGCTGCCAGCCTTGGGCACCAAAACCGGTGGCTCACGTCATCTGGGCATCGCCGCCAGTCAGCCCGGAGACAAGCCTCTCCACAGTACAAGACGGCGCAGCACTGGGGGCTGGGACACAGGGACAGGTGGGCACCTGGTGGTAGTCTCTGTAGGTCCTGTCTGCTGTCCATCCTGCAGCTGCCCATCCACCATGCAGTCTGTTTGTCCGAGCCCCTCTAGTTGCTTGCTTCATCTCCATCTTATCTCCCCATCCACCTTTCTGCCTCCTAGGCCCTTCATCTGCCTGCTTTTTCTGTTTGCCTGACTGTTGGGGGGGGGGGCTTTCTTTCCTTCCATTTTTGTGGGTTGCTCACCAGGGTGTCAGCTTCACTTCAAAGCTGTGCTTGTGACAAACATGGCAGGTTCGAGCCCGAAGGGAGGCAAAGGTGAAGCCCGGCCGGGGACCCCATGTCCGCATTGGGGTCTTGGCTAACTTCACACCCAACCTGGGGACCAGACTCTCCAGCTCTCTGAATGGGGGTGGAGATGGCATCAGGTTGGGGAGCTCAGGAGTCTGGGTCCCCAAGCCTCCCTACCCTTGGATACCAGATTCTATACCGGTGCAGCTGGGTATCTCCCACAGTAAGTTGTCGGGGTTTTCGAGGGTCCCCAGAGCCCATGGGGCAGGCCATGCTGTGGCAGAGGAGAGCATAGCCCCGAAGAGCCAAGTTCTCAGTCCCTGAGCCCCGGCCTGCATTCCCCTGGACTCCTTCCATCAGCAGGTCAATGCCCAAGATGGTACCATGCTCATCCGTCACCAACAAGAGGCAGGAGAGGTGCAGGGGGGCAGCCTCTGGGGGAAGAGGGGAAAGCTGGGGGTGACGATGGGAGACAAAGATGGTCAGGATCAGGGGTACCAAACTCAAAAACTCCAGGGGCTAGGCAAATAACCTCAGTGAGTGAAGGGGACTGGGTAGAGCGAGCATGCCCCATCGAAGGGGGACAGCTGCCACTCTGCCAGAGTTTGCTGCCATGCAGAAATGGAGATTTTCTGCTGTCAGAACTGGAGATTTTTCTCAAGAGTGTGTAAATCCAGACTTCTGGTTTTTTTCCTTTCAATGTGTAAACACTGTGGGTCTGACCTTCTCAGGCCAGACTGGACGGAAGGGCACCAGTCCGTGACTTCTCCCTGGATTCCGAGTGGCAGGGAAGGGTTCTGGGAGGGGAGTCTGGCTGGGCAGGGCAGCACTGGGTTCTTACCGCTCCGCTGTCCCTTCCTCTTCTCAGGTCCTGTTTCATCCTCCACCCTGACCTCTCGGCCGCCATCCTCACCACCTCCTGCCTCTTGCTCAGCATCCTCTGGCTCCCCTGGAGGGTTTGCTTCTTGAGGGGACTCCCTGCTGGTTGGGGCTGGTTCCTTGTCCTCCTCTGGTTCTGCCTTCCCTGTGATCCTGCCTGCACCACCCTCCTCCTCTCGGTTCTCTTTGCCTTCCTCCTCCTCCTCCTCTCCTTCCTCCCCATCCTCTAGGCTGACAAAGCTGACATAGGGGCTCAGGTCTCGCAGGTGAAGTGGAGGTTCATCTCCCAGGAGCCGGGCAGCCCCCAGGCCTGGTCCAGGGCCTGGCTCTGCCCCTCGCCCCAGGCTGATGCCCACACTACGGTTGGGCAAGACATGGAGCACCCAAAGAGCAGGGTCCTGGGGCAGCCTTCTGATCTGAGCCTCCAGCTGTCGCCAGCGGCCCTCAAGGCTGGTCCCCACAGCCCCGCGCTCTGCCACGAACTTGCGGAACCAGCCAAAGAGGAGGGCAGCAAAATCGAGGAATTCATCCCGGTATCCAGACACAAACTCCATGTCTTCAGGAGCACAGGGCCTGGGCCCAGACTGAGCAGAGGAAGGGGTATATGATAGTGGTCAGGGCGTTTGGGGCTGGGTCACAACACGGTGGAGAAGATGAGGGTGTGAGGTCCCTTAGGGTAGGGTCTATGGATGAGTGTTAGGAGCTGAGAATAGGGTTTCCAGGGCCAAGGAGGGAGTTCAGGGATGAAGCTGGGGGGCTAGGTCTGGCAGTGAGTTTGAGATGAGACAGTCCTTGAGGCTCAATATAAGAGCACTCACGCCCCCTCCCCAAGTAGGCCAAGAATTCAGGATAGAAATGAGGAAGGCCTAATCCCATCAGGAAGGGTTGGGGAGGAGGAAGACTTTTGGATCTGTCTGTGGGGCACAGGAAGACAGAACAGGACCTGGGGCAGCCCTCGGGCTTGGATCGATTGAGGTGGGGAGCCCCAGTAGACCTAGCGGCCGCCCCACTCCTCT